AGATAGATGGGAATTTATGTTCAGACCCTCGAGAGGCTCGAGCCGCCACTGGTGGCTCAAACTCTCCGTCGGCGCAATGAATGGCCCCAAGCCGTGCTGCTGCAGCCGCGGATCTGTCGGACTGCTGGCATATTTAGGGAACAGGTGGCAATTTCGTGTTAAGGCGCCTTCATCAACGAAGGGTATGTGATTTTTGGATGGCCTCTTTACCGTCAATACCTGGTGCCTGTCTCAATGCTGTAATATGAGCTGCCTTCTCAGCCTAGTTTGCACTGCTGGTGGACCCCGAAGACAAAGCCCACTACAAAGCCCTAAAGCCCGAAGCTCCAAACTCCGTCGGAAACCCTTATGCAACCCTAAACTCTAAACCCTAAACCCTTATGAACCCCTGAGTGCAAGATTGAGACGCTGGGGGCTGACCTGGATCCCGAGCCGGGCGGGAAATGGCGTTCTTAGGGTTTAGGCTTTAGGGCTTTAGGGTTTAGGGTTTGTAACTGAAAAAGAAGACCACGATATGCGAGTCGTCATCGAGATCTCGCAACAATTCAGCGGCGGGTTGCTCAGGCCCTTATGTTCAAGCCCCAGGCAAGTGGTTCAGGAGTTTGAAAGTTGCCCCTTCGTTCGCTCGCCCCTTGAATTGAAGGACTGTACTCCAAAGTACTGCAAAAAAGAAAGGAATATTTTTTAGCAATTGGCCCTTACTACTTACTTACTACTTATTGCTTATTATTTATGCTATCTTGAGTGACATTTATGAGGAAGTTTGCTTTGCTTGGGCTTAGTTGCTTCCTGGGGCCCGCGAGTCTTCGAAGCGCAGCTGCTCCGCAGTGCCTTTTTTTTGCAGTTGCACACTTCCGAAGGAGCACTGCTTCTTTCAGCGTTTTCAATCAGACATCCTGCTTGCAGTGCAATGTAGCAAGTACCCAGACGAGGAGCCTGAATATCGCTAAATGTTCGAAAAATCTAAAGACCTTAAGAGACCTTTATAAGCCGCACACCTCAAACTCCGAGCCTTGAATCCAACCCTCCTCAAAACCCTAAACCTCACACCGTAAACCTCAAACCCTAGACGAAACCGGCGTGAGTTCCGGGCTGTTCAGAAAGATGACTTTCAGCCATGCATGTGCTGTCTTGCTGTGAATTATGAGTGCGATTATCCTTTCGTATACCATTACTTCATGGGATCAGTGCCACTGGCTGCCGGAAAAAGCCCAGTGATGTAGGGATCCTCTTGGGCTTCAGGGGCTACCTATAACGGGTCTTGCGGAGTGGCAGCCTCAAACTACAACCCAAACCTCATGTCGACCCTTCCTTTTGAGAAACTCCCAAGTTCCGTCTAAAGAGCAGCCAGCCCTTCTTGAAACATGCCCATCAAACATTCGCAGCTTCAGCGCTGTGCCAGCTTGCTGTGTAAGGCTGAGCAAGCTCGCAGCTGCATGACGGTGCTAATCCAAACTGTTCTGCTGGGCACTCCGTGCTTTGCGAGTTCAAGATGGGGCCCCATCAGCACCATACCTAAAACCTAGATCCTAACGCAACCAATATCCTAAGTCCTGCATTTGGGCCGCACCTTGGGGAAACTCTTTGCCAAATTGGAACAGCTTGGCTCATTCGCGCCGCTGGCGCTTGCGTGGCGGGAAGTGAAACTTCCAGTCCAACTTGCAATTCAGGCAGCGCGCGTGATCAGCGGAGCAACGCAGTGCTGGATCCGGCGCAAGCATGAACCACAAAGCCGGAAAAGTGCTCAAACCCGACGGCGCAAACAGGTTGACTAATTCCCTGCCCTGCCGAATTTTGGCAAACATGGCAGGGAATGTGGGTGCTCGGAACGGCGCCAGCCCAGTCCCCAATTCATACAAACAGGCACCTGCCGCCCATACATCCACGGGCTGGCCACGAAAACGATTTGAGCTTGCACTCTCCCCTGCCCGAGATGGCAGCGCTTCGGGCGCCAGGTTTGTTATTGACCCAACAACATCGCAGTGCCAATCGCCCGGGTGGTTCCATGAAGCTGAGCCAAAATCCGCCAGGCGGACGGTCAACCCTGGCCCCGTCAGCAAGATGTTGTCCGGTTTGATGTCTCTGTGAATCACCATAACTCTGTGCACATGAGCAACGGCAGACCTCAGAAAGAATGACACAAGGTTCACCACCACAGCCCAAAGAACACATGAACATGAAATGACAGGGGCAACGCCGCATAGTGCACGATCTCATCCAAGGCACAACAGCTGCTCCGCGGCTTTCAAACGGAACTTAATGCACTGCATGTGTCGCGCGCTCTGGATAAACTTGGCCAGAGTCCCCCCAGTGCAAAGTTCCATCCGTAACTCGGAAGTGGTGTGCCTAAGCCAAGCCAGGCGCTTGGGCAAGCAGTTCCAGCACGGATGCAAACTCCCCATATGGGACAAAGGTGCCCGCAGAGCATCACTACAAAGTCGCTGCGGCAGCGCTCTAGGAAGGCTGCCTCGCGTTCCAGCGTTCCCCCACGGTGCGCTGTTTTGACCTCAGTCTTGATTCTAAGCTGCCCCGATGTTGGAACAGCCTGAAAACATAGAAGGAATTTCAAGCAACAACATTCCAAAACAGCTGAAAAACTGCAGCCCCTCCGATCTTGCAGACTCTGCCATAGTTGCCGGCCCCCAGAAGAACCGGGCGCTGCCTTTCCTCGGGCTGCTCAAGATCGGTCCAAAAGGTCGAAATACGAAGCAGCCATGCTGCCCAAGTAAAACAACACACCGAGAAACCCAGAACTTAGCTCTGCAACAAGGTTTGATAGAACAGAAACACCTATCCGAGTCGAAGGCCTGGCAAAAACCCATTTGCCATCCCGGCATCATGGGCAACCGTGGTGGCCAGCTGCTTTGGTTGCACCAATGAATGCGCACCGTTTGCCCTATGTACATCCCGCACCTGTCCGTCACAAGCATCAAAGCACAGAACATCATTTACTACTCCAAGTACTCAGAGCAGCAGGGTCTTCGCAGAACTTGCTATAAGCTTCTTGCGCTGAGGACACCCCGAAGCATCAGCCAATGCAAATCAAGTCATGGTTGCTGAGCAGTCCTCTGCCAAAAACTCCCCAAAGTTGGCGGGAGCTGATCGGGTCTGGCAGGCGGCTCAATTCTTCAATCGTTTGAGCATGCTCAACCTTTGCCCCGACGATCTTGCCTCATGCGTGTGTGACCCAAGGGTGCAACAATTTTGTCAAATCTTTAGTCTCCGTAGTGTGCGAAAAATTGATTGAGATGAAAGCGGCACCCTGGTTCTGTGCCCCATGTGTTTGCTTGTCTTTGCTTTTGTGAGGATCTCGACACCGCCCCAACAACTAGACAATGGCAAAGTTGAATGGACATCCGAATGTGCGATGTGCAAATGCATGGTCTCCAAAGCCTTTGCCAAGCTTTTGTTGCGGCTTCGACTCCTTTTTGATATCCTTGTGGAGCGGACATCCCTAGCTTGACAGCTCAGGTGCCTGCATCGAATCAACGTTGTCTTCGCCGAAGACCTCGCCGGACAAAGGTTTGTGAAGACAATGATATTCTCCCAGGGAGGAATTAGGACGATTGAGGGATCTATGTCATTTTGTGAGTGGCGAAGCTGAGGCTCCAGCATATTTCCACACACATATTACCGCAGCAGCAGGCGTGGCCAAGCCAGCTGCCTGAGCAGTTCCGAGCACAGTACAAACTTCTTACAGGAAAACAGCAACCCAAAGGACATCTGTGGCTGGTACACTCGATATTGACAGCAATGGTATGGCTCCATGAACCCCCGTTTTAAACAAGGTTTTGTCCGATGAAGTTGCCCAGGCGCCCATGGCGCTAAAGAGGCCACAGCATTTGCACCAGTCGTTACAGCTGCGGTGACAGTCGCTGCAGCACTCGCAACAGCTGCACCGGTAGCTGCACTAGCTGTGCCCATCGACCCGGCCACCTTCGCCTCAGGGGTCTAGGATCAAAATCCATATTAGCGGCTTGCACATGTCCAAGACGCATTGTCTGAGGCAGCTGCTCCAGCTGTTAGTCCATAAGAGACGCCGCCGGCCAAGGCACACTCCATGGCAAGTGATCGGTGGAGATCTGGGCTTTGCCGAGTGTCGCGGCCATGCACAGGCCCAAACTACTGAACATCAAACTGCTGAAAATCCGTTAGCAAACTCGCTATCATTCAAGTGAAGCACTTCTTCTGGCATTGCCTGTAGCTGTGAAAAACCCACAAGCTTGAAACATGTTAAATCACAGCTTGAGGTTGGGGGCCTCGCCATGCTCATTGCCCTCTCATCGGGAGCCTTGAAAAGATCCTACGAAGATGCACAGGAAGCTTGCCAAGGAGCGCCACACCAAAGACTGAGTCACAAGCTGTGGTGTGGACGAACTCGAAGCAACCGAAGTCACGAACCACAGCTCCCGTATGTCAAGAGCAACTGTCACAAGACCCTGCCGCGACCAGCAGATTACAAATAGTAAGCCAACAAATGGACAAAAACCCTTGCACGATTAGAGTCGGAAATACACGTAGTAAAACTTATCATTTAGACCGGTTGCCGCTAGCTGCTGAGAATGAGCGTTCGTCAACCTATGCCGACAAGGCTGGTCTGTCAAGCTAAGCCAGTTAAGCTGTGCAGAAACACCAATGAACGTCGTGTCGCCCTTTGCCGTCTGTAGCAGCTGCTAGCAGAACCGTCGACCTTCATCCGCTTAGGCCCTCACAGAGTGCACGGCCAGACTCACCGCTGATTTTGTTTGGGGCTGCATCGGCCTGCTAAGTAATCACCTACAACTACGCACTATGTAATCTTATCTCATTACCTGGCCAGTTTTTTAGCTGCCAGGAAGAGACAGGACCATCGCACCCTCGTCAAGATCCAAGATGTCCAACCAAGCTGTTGCTGCAGGAACTACACGCCGGGCGGCCGCAGCCAGGCTGCTTCCCGAAGTGCTGAGATCTTTGAGGAGGGCACAGTCTCTGTATATGTCCATATGCACAATTCGGCAGCATCACACAGCCGCAGCTGCCTGGAGGTCGGCGGACACTGCCTCCGGGAGCGCACCGAAATCCTATCTAGAGGACTCATATCTAAATAGATCTAAAAGCCAAATGCCAACATGAAAATTTCATGCTTGCCAGGCCTCCCAAACCTCGGACCCAGCGCCCTGAGCGCACTCCGCCACACCGGGATCGAAGTGGTGGATCAGCACCTGGTTGCATTCCCAATAGGCTGTCGACATCACAGCAACCGCAGGGAGCACCGAATCGGAACACAAAAGCCGACTGCCCGAGCCTCTGGGGGAGAGTCTCCTAGCATCTGCAAGGCTGCAGCCTTAGACGTCCGCAGCGCTTCAGGAGTCAAAGCCCAAACAACAAGACAGCCACTGAGCGCGAGACTGCAGCCTGCGAGTCATCACCCCGCTTTCGTCGTTCAAGCTCCAGCCTACAGATACAGTGTCATCGCACTCAATAGGCAGGTTGGAAAGCCACGGAGATCGAAGGCTGGCGGCAGCTGTACAGACAGAGCAGCACTTACACTTGTCTGTGCAGCCAACACTGCGCTCTCCAACCAGGGCAATAGCGTGCAACTAGTCCGAGAACACCCGAGCACGACTCACTCGACCTGAGCAGTTAACTTGAGAGCTGGGCTACGAAAGCTAGAGCAAGGCCGGAACAGCATGGGAGCAGAGAAGCAGGCAAATTTTCGACGAATCAGTTCACTGTATGAAACCTCCGAAGGGGGGGTTCGGGGTTCCTGCCGGGGGGGAGGGGGGGGGGGAACGCTCGCCTGGCCACCACGCAGCCCATTAACTAATTGATTTGCATTGCACGTGCGGCCCGGGTCGCTTGTTGAGCCACTTGCAGAAGTTTGTAAACGACAACTCCCGCCAGCTTCACAGAGCTAGGTTTCGTGATTACAAGTCGAAGTCCGTGCAGCAATGACAAAAGGAAGCTGCTCTGAGTGCGGAGCTCCCGTCTCCTCAGCTCACTTGCACGAGCATAGTCCTGCTTGCAGGGGCGATCGCCTACATGCGCTCCATGATGTGGTGCACACTCAGGCTTCCGTGGCCCAGGCCTCCAGCTCAACGGCCTCCTGTTTCTGGCGCTTGACCGTCTGTAGTTCCTGCTGACATGCTCACTTTCGCATGTCATTGGCCGAAAGGGGCAGGTATGACCTCCTCCTCCTGATTCCTCAGTCTCTTCCGCTCTTCTGTGTCGGCCTCTGCGACAGGGCCGAGTCCGACTCGACGAGCATGTGTCCCCGAACGCCTCTTCGCTAGCGGCCGGCGCATCCTTGCAAGCCTGTGCAGCGCCAATGACGTCGCAACGTCTTGGCAGAATGGAGTTGCTGAGGAACTGGCCAGGCACGATTGCCGAGCGGCGGTAAGCCGCAAGGTGGCGGCAGGCTCCCGCCTGAAGGCAGGATAGGAAAAGTTAGCTGCGCGGTTTTTGGAACCCGAGATTGATCATTGCCCGCTGCTGAGGCCACGGCTGCTTCAAGCGGTGTGCCAGATCAAAGTCTTCCATCTCCACCGCCTGCCAGCAGCACAAGCAAGACCCGAAGGTCTGTGCCAAACGACACGCACAGCCGCCTTGCGCTTTCGACATTGAAGAAGCGAGACTTCAATCATCCGGAGCGACCTCGGGCAGAACCCATGGCGGCTCAACAGCGGTGATTGTGACATACCTTCCTAGAATATCCACGAGGGCCCATCCATTTGCGGAGAGCTTCTACGCCGCCCTGCCATACACGTAGCCCTCTGATTGGCTCAAGACTCTCCCAGAAAGCTCCATGCCCTGCCTCCGCAGCCGCTTCGTCTTTGACCTCTCCTGCATCGCCCAGCCTGAAGCTTCAGCGACTGTAACCGAAGTCAGATTCAGCTGCTGCCCCAGCTGCGATTCTCCTGCTTAGATCACTGCTCTGCTTTTCTGCGCTTTGCTTCAGACTCGGATACAGCGACAATGACCTCACAACTGGTGTTGCCAAGTGCTGGGATTCAGCAGGAATGAAACAAAGGGTGTCAAGCCTAGTTGCTGCGACGCCCTCAGTGTAAGCCATAGACTGGTGCGGAAGGTGGCATGGGCGGGAAGACGGGCTTGCCCTCTTTGCCAACGTGTGCATTCGTAAGACGGCCATCGAAAGTGGTTTGTGTGACCAAACGAGCCTCGGTCGCTTCGCTTGCGACCCCTTCCTTGGAAGCCAGACACTTCGAGGACTTTCAGAGCACCGGCCCGGCCCACATGAGCCGACGGCTGAGGCCGAGGCTGCGCCGGCTGCGCTCATCTGGAGGAAGTCGAAACTGTCAGGCTCAGGCGCCGCACCGGCAGCCTCGCTACGAAGCTGCGGGCACTATGCGTTGCAGTCAGGTGAAGCACCACATGATCACACCCCGCCTGCGAAAGATGCGGCAGGCTGAGGCGGCTCAGGATTTCTTCTGCCTCTGAGAGTCGACGAGGGTCCACGCCTTGCAGGGATCAGACCAGAGAGGGGGCCAAGGCTGCCTCTGCTGCGGCATCTGGGCTTCCGGCCAGCTTGCTGTGCCTCGTCGTATGCTGCCCGATATGTGGCCTCGTCTTCCTGCCCGCAAGCATGCCTCTCGGTCCCTCGGAAAAAAGGTGAGTCAACCAGCCTCTTGCACCACACCCGCGAGCTCCAGCGCTGCAACTAACACCTCGCTTGGCAGAAGCTGCACTCATACAGGCACAACAAGTTCGATTGATTGAACGGACTCGTGGAGACGCGAGATGATGACAAGTGAAACTCCCAGCGAACCAGCTATTGCATGATTCGGACATATGTACAGAAACAGCCTCACCCGGCATCTTTCGCCATGGACTCGAGACTCTAGGTGTGCACGTCGGGTGGCACTTTGGCAAACAGCCCTTCAATCCAGCTCGAAACCGGCATCCTCGCGCACAACGTCATCATGCCCAGCTTCTCCGAGCAATTCACTGTCAACTTCACTGACTTCCGCCCGAGCGCTGCAAACAGGCAGCCGAGTCGTCGAAGGCCAGACGCATAAGAGAAGCAAGCCAAAAGGACGCGGCTTTGACTCTTCATAGTACTTTCTAGTGACTTGCGAAGGTTACAAGGAACTCTTCTGTCCTGGACTACAACGAACTCCAGCTTCTGCTTCATGACTTTCCACCTCTCAAAAAGCATCCCTGCATTGAGGAGCATCAAGATGCACAGAAGCTGATGCCGAGTCAATCGCGAGGAGTAGGTGGGCAACTTCAGCGTGTTGAAGCCTTAATGTGCTGGCGGTGACATGATGCGATGATGCGTCGACCAAGGCCTAGTCTGGCTTGATGCCCATCATGCAGCATCAGCATCGGAGCTGAACACCGCTGACCATTGGCTGATAATGTGTTTGTGAGGCAGGCACGAACACAACGTGAGAAAGAGCAGCATCAGTGTCAGGCAGGCCAAGCCACATGTTGAAGCCGTCGGCAACTTTTCACCATCACTGCGGACATGCACCTGCGCACCAGTCTGCCATGTTCTAAACTTGTGTCCCTTTGATTGACTTAGGCAGGCTCGGCACTTGCTCGGCAGGCTTGCTACATGCTGGTCAGCACAGCACGGCTTTGTACTGCGCAGTACGAACAGGCAAATTCCGAGCAGGTGCTATCAGCACATCGTCGTAGATTGGAAACACGCAAGGGAAGTTGTGCCGCTGCCAGTCAGCCCAGGAAAAGATAGTCGCACAAGGGCTGCGTCACTTGGGGCTTGGACAGCAGTCTGAGGAACCCTACGCCGGGTCTCTCTAGGTCCAAGAGTGCAAGAGGACTCCGGGCTTCTGTCCGTGCGCTCAGCTCACAGTCTGGCTTCCGCGTAGATCTTTGGCACCGTCGTCTTCTGCTTGGCGAGAATCGTCTCTCCTTCACCGTCCTGAGCAGATAGGTCCTTAGTGAGCCACCATGTACCGAGGAACTGCCTGGTGTTGAGTCAACTCGCGAGGAGCAGGCACAGAAGTGTAAGAACGAGTAGAGAGCAGCACCTCAGCGCGACAGTGCAGTTGCCATGTATGGAGTGGGTATAAAACCCAACTTCAAAATATAGGCCCGCGGCAGAGCATCCAGGGGAAGACTGTGCTTATGAACCTCTGCTTTGGCCGCAGACTCGGACTGGAAACCAAAAGATGCAGCAAAGCTCTGCATTTACCTGTGCAGAGCCTAGGCTACACAACAGCAGGCAAGCCACAGCCCCTTGCCAAGCGCGGTAGCATTGGCAATCCTGTCGGCAGAGGGCATGTCTGCAATCGCCATCTCCTGCCATGGCAAAGCACGTGGTGCTGCGAGTCTTTAAGCACTGCGACGCTTGGAAGAAAGGTCGTGACCTCCATCCCGTCCTGAGTTTTGTACTTCAGGACGTGGGTCGCAAGCAAGGAGACGCTGAGCGGCCCGATCGTTTGACCACTGAGAGACTCCTTTGTTGTCGGGCCCGGCACCGCAGATACAGAGGCCATGCTGCCCTACACGATGACTGCCGATGAAGCCGAGGTTCGAGACTGTACTCCCAGGCCATGACAGATGCCTGGGGATCGAAGCTGGCACTTGCCGGAATCGGCCTCCGTGCAATCCTGCCTTGCTACCCGAGGGGACGATGCGAGCCAGAAGTGGTTGGTTGCAGCCTGAGGCTGCCCAGTGCGCCAAAAGCCCTGCGACAAAGTTGATGGTAGCGAAGTGCCAGAACCTCGGGGCAATGCCGACTGGCCAACAGCAGCACAAGAACTGAGAAATGCATGTGGTCCGATGTCAGGAGTGGGTCTAACCACGGCACATGTCAGGAGAGACCGGGGCGAAGAACATGACGTACATCAGCGGAATGCCCAGTAACACCGAAACTTGCCCGGTGAAGGGTCGTCCGTGTTGCTTGCTCCACCTCTCAAGCCGGTCACCGATGTATCCACCCAAAGGTCCACCGAACATTGTGCCCACAACCTGCAGCGACAGCTGTGCAGATGACTATCGCTCCGGTTCCTTGCAGCTTCACGTTCACTGGAATGCTTTGCTCCGCGTAATGAGCAACTTCCCCGGCCGCATTCCGTGCCGAGGAACACACATGCTGGCCGCAATGGCCGCCCTCGTATCAGACAGCCCGCAGTACCTCACGTGTACATGGTCATCTGTTTTTTCAATAGAGGTCTGATCGAAGGACCGATTGAAGGGCCAGGAGGCTGCATAAACAGAAGTTGAAAGGACAGCGCTGCGTTGGGGATCGTACCAACAAGTCCTCGGAAAAGCTCCGTGCACACATGCCTTGTCTTGCAGGGGAAGCAAGGCAAGTCACCTTGGCATAACACAACGCAGAAAGTCGGCTTCCCCAGGTAGCCCGCAAACTTCTTGCATTCCTGCGGGGCAGAGCCGGCGCGAGCATGGGAACAGCTCCAAGGTAGCTGCAGACAACGTTTTTTAAGATACACTGTATCCCGCTTTTGACGCATTTTGACACTTCCTCCAGCAGGTCAACCTTGTGTGGAGGAGTGGCGGCTGATGGCGAGTGGAAGAACATCTGAAATGCCTCATGGCCGAAGAGGAGCCGCACTCACCCAAAAAAGAAACCTGAGTCCTAGCATCTAGTTGTATCCTGTCTGGCCCAAGCAGCGACAGCAATGGTTAAGGAAAGGCATGCAGTGATCGCGAGAGCTGCACGCCAGCCAGGAACTCCAAGCACGACTTCCTCCCGGCGACTCGGACCGATGGCTCTTTGTGAATTGCTAGGTTTGGGGGCTCACCTCGGCCAAGGGCGCCGCAATCGCGAGGGCGATAATCTTCCCAAGCCCCATTGATGCAGTGAGGAGGCCAAAGTAACTGCCCATAAACTCTGGCCGCACATGCGTCGCAATCCTCTGCCACGCACACACACACACACAGACACACAACTACCTACCCAACATCCCGCATCGACTTGTAAACGTTGCTAGCAGTTCATTCTGTCAGAGACCCGCAACACGAAAAAACAACTCGTGGACTATGTTATCAGTGATGGCCATTGCTTGCAGACTTCCTCTTTCCTGTACTAACTGCTACCAGACAGTTTGTTCGGAGATCGGCTGGTCTAGGACTCTAGGAGGATGGGAGCGTTATGCAGAGCTTCACGAAGCAGGATCTACAAATTAAATGGGACTCTCACAAAACTACAATATCTACAACTGCTACTACTTCACTCTATTCGCGGTTCTGCCACTTTCGCCGTCGAACCGATATCACGGCAACCCTAACTCGAAGCACTCTTGCAGGTAAGGCTCTTAAAATCAAGTCGAACGATATTACATGCCAAATGCAGTCTTATGCAAAGTCCAGGAATACTACAAAAAAATCCACATGCCCAGAAATAACATGTGGCTTGAGGCGCTGAGACTGCACCACTGGCAGCACCATGCCAAGGCAAAGGCCATTGAAGACCCTGAAGGCACAGATCATAGTCACGGACTCGCTGCACGCCAGAATGCAGCTGGCGACGGCCCATCCAACAACTCCGCTGCAAACGACCTTATACTCTGGAGCCGCTACTGTGCCGCAGCAATAAAGAACAAGTTCTTCATCACAGTAGTCGTCGTCGGGTAGAGGTAGTGGTCGTCGTCGCGGTTAGTTTTATCACCCACATGGCACGCTCGTAGTGGCAGCGGTTTTTTGTAGTAGTCGTAGTAGTCGTAGTAGCAGCATTAGTACTCCTCCTCCTCCTACTACTACTGCTACTACTGCTACTACTGCTACTACTACTACTACTACTCCTGCTGCTGCTGCTACTACTACTACTACTACCACCACTACTACTACTACCACTGCTACTTCTACTACGACTACGACTTCTACGACTACTACGACTACTACGACTACTACGACGACTACTACTGCTTCTATAGCCACCACTGCTACTTCTACTACGACTACGACGTCTACGACTACTGCGACTACTTCTACGACCACTACGACGACGACGACTACTACTACTCGTCCTCGTCCTCGTCGTCGTCGTCTAGTACTGTAGAATTGTAGTACCGTGGTACTGCATCACTGCTGGAGGAGGAGGAGGCCTGAGGCCTAGGCTTGTGATGCCCGCAATACTGGCAAACTCCGATTTCCAGGGATAATTACTTTTTCAATTTCGATATGGTTTTGATACGATTTCAGGAATCCTTCCGGTTACGATTTTCTTATGATTTCCTTATGGTTTACGATTGTGTTACGATTTGGATACGGTTTGGATACGATTTCCATACGAATTTGATACTATTTCGATTCGTCTCCAGCCTCCTCAGAACCGTATCAAAATCGTAAACGGGGAAAAACCCTGAACCAAAAGAAAACCATAAGACAATCACAAAAATAATTCCCGGCGCCTACCCTGACTTTCCCAAGGCTGGGCTATGTCGTAAGCCTAGGCCTGAGGTTGTGATGGCGATGCTGGCGGTCCTAGTGGTGCTGGTGATGGTGGCGGTGGGGAGTGCGTTGAGTTAAGGGCACCCGTCTGGCCGTCTGGCACAGTTTTCCTGGACTACCGCCCCTCTTTTCCGGAAACCATGTTGGGGCGGGCGTCGGCGAAACCTTAACAGCTGTTTGAAGCTTCCCGGCACTCTTGTGCTGGGCATACGTGGGCCCACAGCATGAGCATCCTTTACGTGGTATCTCATTTGCTGATGTCTGGGCAGGCTTCGCAAGCAAGGGAGACCCGATGATGCTCATGATGCTGGCGCTCTGGGGCCTGCGGGGCCCTCCCGGATCCCGCCAGAGCACGCCGAATGATGGGCACACACAGAGGATAGTGGTTTGTGGCCGTTGTGTTGCTCGTGGCGACAGCAATTACCTCGTGCCTCTACGGGCGAAAAAATGCCTGCAATACCTGAGCTCCATGCCTGCTTGCATGAATGACCACTGTCAATCAGATTCGCCCAGGCAATCCCAGAGAGTGCCTCAGAGAATCAATTGCTTGGGGGTTGAACATATCATGACCCACAGTGAACGGTCAAAATAGAGAGAAAGGTAGCTAGAAGACTGATAACAGATGCTCCAGCGGTGCTTGACTGGAAGGTCCGGGTCCAGCCAAGGAACCTGGGCAGCACCTGCCATGCCAGACAAGCACTCATCCTTGAAGCTCTAACACGCTCCAACACAAGTTCTAAAAGCTCACGCACTTGGCACAAGCAATAAGACTGGTGCCTTGAAGTGCCTGAAAAATCGCCAGGCTAGTTGGCGAAAACCCAAGCTCAGCTTCCATCGCACGAAAAGATGACGGCAGCAGGTTCATGTCCATCCCTTCCACCAGGCACACTGCACAAAGCAGCAGCCAATTGAGCCTTCCCATCGAGGGAACCTCATCCACCGGGAGCCCCTTCATTTGCCGCAAGCAAAGTGGAGGCGCAAGCTCCGCGTTTCTCAGGTATTTGTGGCCATGGCTAGAGGCTAGAAGCTAGCATAAGCTAGCCATGGAGCCATTTGGCTGCGTCGGAGAGGCACGCAATTTTGACCGAGAAAGCCAGCCACACAGCAAAGCTCTGTAAGCGGAGACAGGTGCCTTGTGCAAGGTGAATGGCGGCTGGAGATGGGAAAAGCCCAACAAAGGCGCCCGGGAGCAAGAAGTGACGAACCGCAGCAGCTTCGTCTGGCAGGCAGCATTTTAGGCTTCGACTGGCTCGATCACGCTTTAGCGCTATGCAATGCAAAGACGTGCAGCTGCTGTTGTTGACGGAGTTGCCCCTGGTGCCTGGTGCTGCGGACTCATTGCTTTCACAGCCGTGAAGAAATCCAGCCTGGGCCAGTGTGCAAGCATTAAGTCGAGGGCCAACACCATGCAGCTCCACCGAAGGCTGTCAGCTGAGGAGCACCAAGCGGTCGCGAGAACCATTGCAGTTGGACAGCTGCGTATGTCGTTGCAGGTCCTTGCTCATAGCATCATCTAGATTCATTTAGCTTCAAGCACTAGATTCTTGCAAAGGGGATGCTGGCTCGTAGCAACTATGATGGAACTTCATGGCTTTTTGGGAGCGTGAATGCTTTGCTGCCCCGCCACATCCACATTCAGGGAGCCGCTGCTGGAGCCGCTGATCACCTGGCCAGCAGCATGTGCGCGGATCAGCTGAGGGGTGAGTCATCCGTTGAGAGCCTGCTGCAGCTCATCCTCACTGAACATCCGCAGCCATCGCTCGTCGATCAGTCGCCGAAAGCCACTCAAGAAGGCCGTGGATGCATTCTGTAGCTCTCGATTCAGCTTGTAGTCGCTGAGCCTGACGAGCCACGAGGCTGCTATGAGGTGCGCACGAGCTGCATGGCCCAGCATCGCAGCCGTGGCACAAGTAAATGTAGCGCACCCTGTTCTCGGCTGTGACCGATACTTCCTTGCCGTTTCCCCCGGGCAGCAACGGAATCTCCTCGCCATCACTGCCAGTGGCAACAAAGTTCAGGCACAGATCTGCCACGTCACCACCTTAACAGGTCTGTAGATGCCAGGAAAGGCAGATCAATCCTTCTGCAGTGGGCTGAGCACAAGACTGTAGACTTTCAGCTGCTGCAGATTTCCGAAGAGTGCCTGAGCTGCTCGCATGGCGAAAGGAAGACAATTGTTCATGTGTGTGTGTGTGTGTGCGGTGCTTCCGGGCTACCGGGTCCAAAGATTGGAGGTCGTAGTACGAGTTGTGTTTGCCAAGAATCTTGGCAAGGAAGAAAGGTGCAAATGAAGGCTCCACGACCTGACTCCGGCAACATTTGTTGAGGTCGTTTTCTGACTTCCGCCTGGGATGCGGCTGCGGGACAATTCCTTCAAAGATAGCCTTGCCAATCACGAGGCCCAAGAACTCGAAGAGCGTCTCGACGTTCTCCTCCCAAGTGCCAAGAGACATCAGATCACAGCCATTCTCAGATTGAGATGAAGCAGCCGAGGCGCATGGTATTTCCACGCATCTGGGTTTGGGAACAGGAGCCGCTCATCCGTGATGCGAAAGAGCCCATACTCGGGGTTGAAGGCTGTCTCCGCAAGCCTCAAGTGAAACCATGACGACATTCTCCCTCGAGGACACTTGGGCCGAGTCGCTTCTCCCAGAACTCCTTGAAGAGGCCGCCGGCATCCTGTCCCTGCTCCGGTCTACCTGAAGCGCTCACGAAGACCACCTGGAACCGCGCTCGCCAGTCAGCCTCCTCACTTGACTTCGCGTGCCACATAAAGAGCGACAAAGACCGTCGAACCCTACTTCACAGTCCTTCAGCATCAAGGACGTGAGGCCGTCCTCAAAGAGGTGGGTGCGGCGGACGGTCAGCTTCACCACGGGCCGGCCCAGCCCAGCCTCCCACATACCAAAAACCAAGACCCACAATCGCGGTCCGTCATGATCGGGCAACAGTTTTGTGGTTGGGGGCGAAGAAATGTCAACAGGCCTACTGTGTTCCCGGCGACTCCAAATCCACGGTCGCATGTGCCGAAGCATGGTATTTGCGGTGCTTGTGTCGAAAGTATCGGTTCCCATGCTGGCCGTGTTGAGGACATAGTTGCGGTGCTTCCTGTACTTTGGTTGATCTGTATTTGCACTCTTTCCTCTTCTGTGCCTTGCTGTCGGGCGGCGCGGTTGAGGGGGGGGTGCTGATGTTTTGCCGGCAGCGTATTTGTTGTGGGAGGCGTTGAAAAACCAGAATCTGCATACGCAACATCTGCGCTGCGAGCTTGTAGAGTCGCGCCAACACGTGGAAAACCCCTAATCACAATCCCTAATCCGCAAACCCTAGACATCATCATCATCACCACCACCATCATCATCACTGTCATGGTGTCATCACCATCATCATCAAGACTCTGTTCACCATGCAACACAAAATCGTACGTCTTAGGTATCGAAAACTTGCGTTCTGCGCTTGCCCTCTGTAAAACGTAACTTTCGTCCTGAAAATAGGATTCCCGCAGAAAAAAAAAGCGCCACAAAAAGCAATGATCACGAGTTCCACCTGCAACAAAACAAGTGGCTTTCGTCCCGCGCAGGCCAGCGATACGCATTTCCGAGCTTCAACCATTTCGACAAAAGTTGAGATGTATAAAACCAGGACCAAAACGATGAAACCGCCGTGGCGGCACGAAATCAAGTGCCGTTCGCACCATGCAGGGCGCCTAAAACGAATGTTGCACTGGCACTGCTCCGCGCACGTTTACAAGGCGATCAAACGAGCGTTGTCGTTGCTGTCTCAAAACATGTCAACGAGCACCTGCAAGCTAAAATTGCAGACCCATGCTAATGCTGCTACAACATGCTGCAGTTTTGTGTTGTCTCGGGGGTGCTTGTTGTTGAGGCAGTGTGGCTTTGTTGCTCATTGCCCAAGAGCCTCACGAGCCATCTGGACTCGGGCACGGAGGAGTGCGACGCGGAGCTCGAACGGTATGGCCTGTCATTGCACACACGATACCTGCTCGGTATGGCAAGTTGCATGAGATGCGTGTTGTGCAGAAATGGAGCTGCTGCCTGCGGTAGGTGGCGGAGAAGGCGATCAGCACCGACCGTCAGCTGAACGGGCTGAGCGAGCTGAACTGAGTCTGTGATCTCCTCCCATGCCGATAACTAGTGTCCACATCGTGCGCTGCTCAAACTTCTTGGCGCCTTGACAACCGCCTTGAAGCCCTCTGTGACCGGGTCTGGAGCATGCCAGCAGCTCGCAGGAAGCGGCTTCTCCCCGCGACGGCAGAGCGCCCAGAGCTGTCCCAAGACGCATCCGGCGGCCTCCAGAAGCTCCTCTCCTTGTGCCATTTTTCGAATGCTCTGAGACTCTACCCGGTGGAGCTGCGCTGCGAATCGCACCGAAAGCTTTATTGCTTGGAGCGAGCCGCGAATCGGAAGGCCTGCGGCCCCTGATGACTCTGCACCGCTCCATGCGAGCCAAGAGGTGACCGACGTCACCTCCGGCGCTCAACGAGAAGATTCATCAATGCGGCCATGTGGCTGCCGCCCGCCTTGCTCACGTACATGCCGATGTCATGCTTACAAAGTGGAGAGTCTGCACTTCGAAGCTCGTCGTAGGTCATGATGCCCAGACTCTGCGACAACAGCACGGCGTGTAGGTGAATGAGGTGGAAGACATTGGGACCCAGATGTTCGCTGAGTTGACCGGGGCGCATTGCATCCGCGGTCAGAGTGCTTTGAATTCGCCGCCACAGCCTGGGTTTTCCACACCTTTCCCACACGGACAATGAAAGACTGCAGCGTAATCTTCAGACAAGAAACGCCTTGGTCACATCGCCACCCTCCATGTAGGCAATGGCATTGGCAATCGTTTCAAAGACTTGGTAGTTTAGCCCCGACTTCGAGGCTGCACGAGCTTTGCCCAGCAAGGTGCTGTAAAGGTGTGCAAGGCTGTCCACCGCAAGCGGGCACACTTTGTGATGTGCCACGGCCAGGCAGTGCCGTTGGTACCCACGGAGTCGCACCGGTCCCAAAAAGGCCTCCTGCACTAAAGATCTAATAGAACCCCAAAGACTTCTCTGAGGCCTGCTTGATGCAATCGGACGCGTGCCTTTGGCACATACTTCAGCATGAGAACTCTGCTCCACCACTGGGCTATCGCTCCAGGCTCAGCCACATGCTGCAGCTGTCGCCGCAGCTCCTGCATGTATCTGTAGCAACGGAGCTGGGGCCAGTGACAGTCTTCCAAAGTCTTCCAATCCTTGACGGTCACCGGCTCGTCTTGGACTAGTGCTGGTGCTCCAGCAAGCATTGAGACCTACCGGCAGAGGCTAGATTCTCATGCATGAACTCATACAGGTCTCCAACGTGTGAGACCTGTCCGTTCACAAAATCTTCAGACCTCGACCGCTCTCTCCAGCAGGTATGCTTGGACCCTGAGAAGTTCTGGCAACGGCAACGTCAAGGCTGCATGCAGCTCGAAGAGATTGCCTGGCGATGGAAATCGGAAAGCTACCTTCGAGCTTGACTCTGCATCACTACAATGCACTCCACTGGCCTGCAGCATATGACATCGCGTACTCCTGCTCCATGGCTTTGGCAGAACCTGCATGGTCTTGATGCTTGATGGGTGTTCCCCAGGACCCGTTGCACCCGCCTTGGCGCTCATTTCCGCGATGATTCTTGAACCGTGACAGAAGTCGAAGCAAAGCTGAAGACCATGCTTGCTCCTCTGATGGCTGCACTCTCTGTACTCTCAACTTCACCCATCCACCCTTGGAGTCATGCTATAAGCCAACTGAAAGGCACCGTCCTCGGCCCTGGGAAGGCATCTCGCCAGCGGTGCTCCCAAGCGCGGGACGGAGAGCAGCGCTTCTAGGAGTTCGGCAGCGACCTCGAACGTGGCCTCCTCCCAAGCTCGCGGCGTCTTGGCAAATCAAACCCTGGTGAACTGGGGCTCTTCGTCAGATGCGAAGGCCGTGAGGCACCGCAATTCGAAACAAGGTGCGAGAGTACACATTGGCTATTACATCAGGATGCCTGCCTGCAATCGGAATATATCGGAATCACGGACACGCACTGATTAGCAGATCCTGCAGGGCGAGCCGCAGAAGTGCAGCTGCCGCACCAACCTGCTGACAAGTGCAGGGGCCGCATGCTTTGGATCAGCTGTGTCACAACAACCCGCTCTTCCACACAGGGCTCTGCCGCACCAGGTTCTGCAGTTTCTCCGGAGGTGTGCCGCCGCTGCCCCAGCAGCCGGCGGCAGCCAGTGCACAACCGCGCCAGTGTTGAAGCCTCAATGGCTGACATCGTCAAGCGCGTTGGGATAACCTTCGCCCCATGACCAATCCAGCTCTTTGAGACTTTGAGTGCAATATAGTGCGACAAGCAACATAGCGGAATAGACGCAGGTTCGCAGCAGCAGGCCAGAAATCCTCCGAACCAATGGCGCACCCATCTCAGAGCCGCCTGTGACCAACAAATAACGAATGGATGGAGATGGACATACACAAGATGATTGGCTTCACCGCTGGAAGATGCGTTTGTTCTCGGGTTGGCTCGCCTGTGGTTTGCTAGACTTGGAATGGCCAGCCTTGTACCCACAACATATCGCCAGATCATGAGCCAATGACGTGTCGGTCGCTGAACTTTTGCAGGCCGGAACACGACGAACCGAGGACGAGTTTATGGCATCAACCGGATAACAAAAAGCACAGGCTTGTCCAAATAGGTCACACAAGCACCGTCTATAGCAGATCTTCGTGACCAACTCGATCGCAACGAAAAAAGCAGATGTGGAAACCCTCGCGCCTGCCCAGCTGTGCAGGTTCAAGATTTCGGCCAGATTTGCCACACAGGCCGAAGCCGCAGTCGACAGGATTTGCGAATGTCCACGAACTGGTGCAATTGCGATCACAAGCAGAGCGTGGCAGAAGTTGACGACGGTCCGATTTGGATCCTTGGCGTCTGGGATAGGCTATACTTTAATGGGCCCACAGCGAGTTGTGGCCCCGTCCAGTCAAGTTGGGGTGCACTGATGTCACATCCCCACAACAACCTGACACCTCACTTGCCAGCAAAGCGCTGGCACATGCAGTGGTCGGGCATCGGCGCATAACAGAGAACCTCACAAAACCGTCCAGATGCGCTGAAAACGGGACACGCTGGCGAAGCACGTGCACCCTGCAACGTGCGTGAGCTCAGCTTGGAGCAAACGCTCTTTTGCGCACCGTTTGAAGAAGCCCGCAAGCCGTCAATTGCCTTGGTGCATGGCCCACGTTTCTTCTCGGATGGTGTCGACATGCCGATGGTATGGTAGCATTTGCTTCCTGATTCGCTCCGACGGACTCAAAACAGAAAACGATAGAGAACAACGTAGGCGTACGGCCAGCGAGGACAAAGTCTGAAGCACCTGCAGCTCCGCTGCTGTCAGTGCCCTCTCGAAACATGCTCTAGGACAGTGCCAAATCGTTCATGTACGTCGATGTCCAGCACTCGTGAGGATTGAAAAATGTTGGGCGATGCCTCGGCCAGCTCATCTGAACTCCTTGATGTGCTGCATTTTCGGACCTCGCATCACTCCGACAACTTCGTGACTTCGTGCCCGCCTGACAGCTGACTGCTCGGGACCTGCCAGCACGACCGGCGCAAAAACGTCAGCAGCAACTCCGCTGGCGCAAGGAACTGCTTTCCTGCCAGTCTGAGCCAAAGATGGACAGAGGAAAGCCAGTCAGAGCCAAAGATGGACAGAACTCTACCTAGGTGGCAGGGGTGCCAACGAACACAGACTCTATATTTACTCTACTTATGTCTTCAATCTACAAATGCATCAGCATCGGGTAGGTCACCTTCAGCAGTTGACCACTCTCACCCGACTTAGGTTATGCAGACTTGGTCTTACTGTGCCTGGTTTCCCTGCACTTGCAAGTGGCACGGTCCCTGCTGCCGCAGCGAAGTCGCGAGAGCGCCAAGATCTTGAACCTGCTTCCTCAGTGCAGCCGGAACGGAGCGCAGTAAGCTGTTGATAACACAGATAACACACCGACAAGCGACACGTCCGACAGCATTCGCCGTCCAAGTGATCAGCTATGGCTCCGAAGACTTTTCCATTCGGCCTCTGCCCAACTGCGTCTTGCCAGGAATCCCCGGACCTGGATGAGCCCATTTTCAGACAAACGTCATCCTATCAGTCCAAGCTTAGCCAGGCGGCGAAGCACTGAATTCGTGCGGCGCCCTCTGTCCGGTGGCTCTCCTTAGCCGTCTCCTTTGACAGCGCAGAGTGTGATCTTGAAGCCGGAGCATGCATCCAGAAGCCAAGCTCCTCCGCGTTCTGCTGGCGTTGCCTCTCTCGCTCCTGGCAGACACTCCATCACCACAAGCAGCCCAAACATCGTCCTGGTTGCTACAATGCAGGTCAACATTTTGAGATGGCAGTTGGTGCACGGACGAACCTGCCAAGCTGAGGCTGAACATGCTGAAACTGACATGCTGTGGGAAAGTGTATTGCTGTAGGGTCACACTTAGTATGAACCCTGACCTGCCCATTCCCGTTTCACACATTGCTCTTACGGCGAGAATCTAAAACCTGACGTGCTGTTCGATACCGTAGTTGGTGGTGGTTCTTGACCCTCCAAATAGAGCGTGATCAGAGATTCTTCCAACTTTCCTCTGAAGTTTCCCTGCACGCAGTAATCTCCTCCACGCTTCGAGATCATCTACGCAGGCATGAAACAGGCTAGCATGCCCGGAGAAGACCAACATTCACAGCCGCATAAGCTTTTGAGCAGGCTAGCAAGTCTGAGCAAGCACACCAGATAGAGAAGAGACCTCTGACTCGAGCTCTGCTCCTGACGCTTCTTCTCCAAGTCATGGAGCAAGGCAGCTTTGGATGACATGGCACTGGCATTGACATTGCGCAGGCTTCAGTCGAGGTTGAGGCGAGTCTCAAGGTTGCGGTGACGGGAGTGATGCGATACAAAGAAACTGCCGTTATCCTGATTTTGCAAACCCCCGTGCTGCATTCGTTCGTTTGGGCCTTTGCACATAAACATTACCCTGCTTCAAAGATCTTCAGAGCCACATTAGGCGGTGAGAGGCACGGGGGTGGGTCCCATAATTTGACCATCATTGACCAAGCAGAATTTGGAACCCGGCGCCAGCATCTGCGAGTTCCCTTTCTGCAGCAAGGGTCCTTACTTGGTAATCCGCCCTTCCTCGCATGGTGAGTGCCGGAGAACGGGTGCACACTTGAGGCTCGCGCCTCAAACGCATGTCCGCCTCTGCGATTAAAGCCCCTTCAACACCAGCAGCTCGTGCCTTTGCGTGTCGGAAATAACGTGCTCGGCAAGACTCTAAAGACAAAGTCTCAAGATAGCACTGGCACCTCCATGATGGCCACACGCAAAGATACTTCATCGTGGGCCTTCGCGATTCTTTCTGCTGAAATTCTCGGACGTATCTACCTGCAAACCCAACTGCCTCTGCCAGCGCATACATGCTGAAGTACTTGTCATAAGCATACTCTGCCTCGGCAGCTTCAGTCAGCAACCTTCCCTGCCGCTTCCCAGATGACACTCCAGAAACCAAGGGGTTGGCCGCATCAAGGTCTTCCCGATTAATGCCGGCCTGTTTATGCAGGGGGTCGGTCGCGGACTGCGAACTAGTCCGTCGTACTTGAACTTCCCGGCAGCCTCAACACCGGAGACAGCAGAAAGCCAAACACCATGCCGAAAGGCTGTGCCGAAGGTGTCCTGCAGAAGGCTACATTACTACGGCAGCTATCTCCGTCTCCACTGCCCATGACCTCACAGACATCCTCTGGAAGCCCCACAAGGGAAAGCTTGTCTACCTGCCATTACACTTTGACAGAGCATTTCCAGGCTGAGTTGTGGAGCTTCCGCCTCGACAATGCAGTCACCCACCTTCAGAAGTGGCTGTCCGGGCTTGGCTTCCACCTCCTTTGGTCATGAGTTTCATGACCCTCTGCGCAGACGCTGGTGGTGCTCTCTGGCTTGCGCGTGCTCCTCGACGACCATGCCCCACTTCGTTGTCTGCAATGTCATGCCACAGCCTGAACAAACTGATCTGGTTGAAGGTTGCCACATGTTCCGTTCGAATTTGCATGCCTGAGCTTTGCCTACAGACCTCAGGAAGCGACCAACTTTGTCAAGCACTCGAAGTTGCATGCGCCTTATCAGAAAAAGCCCAGCATTGTCATTCAGGCTTAGCATGGCTCGGCACGGCCAGAAAGCCAGACTAATTAAGGGTGCAGCTTCATGCCGGGCACCTTCGGAACAGGCTTTCCTGGCTGCTCTCCACATTCTCCACTCGCTTGACACTCGCAGGATGAGATTTTGAATTCATCGGTCCTGTCGGCAGATCCTCCGCTTTGGCGGCTGGTGGCGCTTCGCGCTTCACTGCTACCGGGACATCTTGTTCCGTTTCCATCGGCTCCGCTTTTTCCTCCTTGGGCTCCATCGGCTCTTCGTAGGCTGCTGGCTCCGGCTCGACTGGCACAGGAGCTTTCCTGGGCAGCACAACCCAGTCTTCCAGTTCTTCAAGTCGGCCTTCGGCGACAAATGTCCTGGCAGCTTCTTCCTGCAACAGCCTCGTGAGCGCAGCCTCGGCAGCCTGCAGCTGTCTACAGAGGTTAAGTCCATGCCCGAGCACTGGAACCGCTCAGCTGGAGGTCGCCTGCAGGTCATGTTCAGCAGCCTCCTCTGCACCTGGGAGACAGTCCCCACGAAGCTGGGTGGGTGGCCGAGAGGCCTGTCCTGATGCGGCCGAAGCACGAGCTTGTGCAATGGCGCTTTTCAAAGCCTTGGGGTCGCAGCACATCAGCACCAACAGGTAGGCATTCGAAGGGCGCAGAGATTCCGGCACTGATGTTTCGCCCACCCATAGCCTGGACAGGCGCTTGAAAAAAACGCAACTCGGACGAGAAGTCCAGAGGAGTGCCGCTTTTGAAATGCCTATTGCTTGTGTGGAGTGCAGGTCAGTACGGCGATAGATTCGACGACAGCGCCTGAAAGGTTGTCAATCTCTCAGAATGGGTGGCCTCAACACTGCTCTGTTCAACAGCAACAGAGTCAAGTCGAGGAAAAAGCTTATTTTTTCACGAGTGAGTGCTGGGAAGGGAAGGGAACGGAAGGGAGGATTTTCTGCATGCGTGCACCATTCTGTGTGAGTTCCCTGGTGGCTCCAGCGGAAAACCCCCCTCTTAGTCTAAAGGTCCCTCGCCTCGCGGAGCCGGGCAAAGGCCTGGGCCAATTCTTCGGGAAAAACCGGTCGAAAAACCCACAGAACCCAGAGAATCCACTGAGCCCAACTAAATTCGTAAGGGTCTGTGGACAAAGGGCGCCAGAACAGAGGGCTAACCTTACGATTAGACTAAGGGTTCGGCCAGGGTTTCCCAGACAGGATCAAATAATGCTCTTAGGCAGCAAGCTGCAGCAAGCAATCTCTCAAGGCAGGCCACAGATGCGAGACTTTACCTTGTTCGCATTCTATATGATCTTCTCAATTGTGACTTTCATGGTAAGTGCGTGGTCACTGCCGAGGTCCCGGCTTTCTCTTTGCGCTCTACGCTGAGGCGCTCTTCCAGGGCGGCCTTCTGGAGCTGCTTAGGAAGACACATGTGGCGCATTTAAGAAGCCCGGCAGTCCTTGAGGTTCAAGTTGAAGCTTTCCTCTGCCTTCAGCAGACAGACATGGTGTACTTCGCTGTTACGTTTGTCTCCCTCTGGCCTGCGAGATGTCAGCCTCGCTTACTCCAGATTGTCTCGCCAAAAAGATGGCGGCCTGACAGGCTGCAGCGGTCTCTTTTGTTGAATCGGGCATTCGAAAACGCATGAAAGCGCCAAGCTCTCCTGCAGAACCGACTCGTCATCCCCGCTAGCAGCCACCTGAGCCATTGCGCGACTTGTGCCAGCATTGCAGTGGCGGTGTGATCTAACATCTCAGGTCGATTCGTTTAGCTCTCGCAGGGAGACAATGCGCCGAAGCATATCCTGACAGGGTCCGTCGACATGTATGCGATGATCAGTTTGTCTGGATCAACCGTCCTCCGCTTCTTCTACGGTGCTGTTCTGGATGCCAGCATCAATGGCCTGCTGTCGTCAGGCTCAATGAATGTGGCAAAATGGCAGGTCAAGCACGATCTCGGGTACGCACGCAGGTTATAGTAACACAGTTGCTACTATTTGCTCTGACTTGCAGGGGGCTGCGGACACGAACGCTTGTCGCGTTCCGAACGGGTTAAGCGCACACACACACACATTTCTCACACGTTCCTCTGCAAGTACCTGTATTGGCATGTTCGCTTTGCTGTGTTGTCGTGTGCTGCATACTTCGGGTGGGAGTACCACGGTAGCAAAATCCAAAAACTCATTCAGTGAGTTTGCTACCAGTAGGGTTACGGGAGGAAGGAGCGCATATCCACACTGAATCCACACTACGTTCCTACGCATGGATGCGAGCTGTGAGCCGATTCGGGTTCTCTTTTGGTGGGGAGAGTAGATGGTCACGACTTCCTCGGAGGAGCAACACGAGACCACTTGGCGGAGCGACGAATCAAAAATACTGCGCTCTGCACATCAGGAGGGGTACGCATGCATGCTACAAAACAGGCATGTTGCAGTGTTCGAAGGCCTGAAGAACGCTGCTTAAGCAAATGCTTGCCTTGTTGAGGGCTGCCTCGAGGAGGCTTTCATCAACTTTGCTGATCGCTTCTGACAGCGCTCGCCCCTTAGAGTAAAGTGATTCTGCTTGCTTGTCAGAACAATCTTCCACAGGAAGCATTCGGGATTGATCCAGAATCTCGTTCTGTGGATCTTCATGGCATAAGGCGATCGCGGCTTCCAGATTCTTTCTTTTCACTGTGGCTGCATCCGTGCCACCTCCCCTTGCAGCCACCTCGTGATCGTGGGCTGCAGGAAGCACTAGACCCAAGTGTATCTGCAAGCTGTGTAAGCATTACTATGCCGTGCAAGCCAGGGCTTCGGCTGACACACGCGGAAGCTTGGCCTCAAGAGACAGCCAGGCTGATGGGCGGTGTCGTACACTGTGCAGCCCACATGCTTGCTGCATGCTTGTGCAGCTTGCTACTTGCTAAGACCAGAGCTGCTGCTGGACGATTTTTGGCAAACTCCTCCCTCAACATGTCGACCTCGATGGCATCCGTCAGGCAAGGTGCACTTCGCTCTGCCTGTGCTGGTTTAGTTTGACCAATGCCTGGGTTTCCAGGTCAGAAGGCAGAGCTCCTAGACCAACAGAGCCTGGCGGCAATTGCATCTGCCAAGGCAACGATGCAAACGGTCGTCGAGAGGGCTAGGATGGCTCACGGCCGCTCTTCTGAAATGACTTGACCTCGGCAGTGATGTAGCCATGAATTTGTGCGCGCGCGTGCTTCAGTAAGCGAATGCCTGGCCTCTGCAACATCGGCCGGGTGAAAGCCGATCCAGTCCCTAGCAGCTGTCTTCTTTCAGTCTAGAACTCAAAGCCGTATGTCAAAGGAACTCAGAACAATGACGGTGACACCTCAAGAGAGCACTCTCTGTACTCAGCCACGTGGGCAAGTGTGCCTTAGACGGGACTGCATTGGCTAAGAATGGCATGCTGAGACCGCACAGCGCCACAACTTGCTGGGCCTCGGGCCAGGATGAGACAAAGCTTCCTCGACCGCGTGAAGGCCTGCGACGGTGGACCCCATGGGCCGCCAGGCCTAGCCCTGAGCCGCAGCCGCAAGCGTCGCAAGCGTGGCAGCAAGACAACGTTCAGTCGACGCCAGTCCGACACAAACCCAACATCACCACCTCGGACAGCGAAAGTGACCAGGCTCGGCCAGGACGGATTTGACATGCTCAGTCAGTGGCGTGGATTGGCCCGGACGAGGCTGAGAATGATGATGTCCTACATAGGCAAGCCAGGGTACCACCGAGCCACCAGGATGTGATGTGATGTGTTGCCGCGTCTCACGTTGTGCCTTTTGGCATCCCTGGAAGGCATCCACTGAAGAGACTTGGACCTTAGACATGTCCAGTCACTTGAGATCAGAACCTTTCTCTTCGTTGTGCGGTACACGGTCGAAACGTGTTGGGCATGACCTTTTCTTGCGCAGGGCATCGTGACGCAGACCCGGATCGCTTGAGTCGGAACATATCCGAGAGCATTCCGAAGGCAGTCACCTCGGCTTCGTTTGCTTCGACTTCGAGCCCCCGCGACGAGCCCCCGACCGCTCGCTTGCCCGAGTGGCCGCAGCACCAGCTCCGGGACCTTGAATCACCAGAGGCCGTGGGGTGAAGCGCGCCGACGAGATGGCCACCATATTATCGGCATGACGGAGAGCTGGTGCGGGGAAAGCAAAGGCACGGCTGTGCAAGAGTGCGCATGTACACGGAACAGGAAAATACAGGAAACGGCCTGCTAAGGGGTGGTCCCGAAGCACCGACACCAAGGAGATTCTGGCTGTCCGGCTGGAAGCATTAATGGTGCCCACATAGCGCGGGACTTTGTTCTGAACACGTGCCTACATTCAGTTCACAGTGGCAAAGCGCATCGAAGCACCTGCTTTGCCGACTAAGTGACGAGGGCGCCTGCGCAACCCTCCCTGCCATGTCATCATCGAACTCACGTAAACGGCCCACGAAGTCCGAGACTGTGCTGCCTCGGACATATAATGCTACATTGACAATCCAAAACCTGTCATGACTTAAAGTGAGAACGAGGGTCCCTTTCCATCCTGCGCTCAGTCAGAGAGGGCATCTTGCAGAGAAGGCTCGTGTGTCTGTGTTTGATGGGTTCCAGATCTGCAACGTGTCAGGCACCAAGGACTCCGGAGCGACATCTTCGAGCTCCAATTCAAGACCCAACTCTCTTGCCAGGATGACAACCTCACAAGCGTGCTAATTCATCCTCTTCTCATTCTTGCAGGTTGCATGCTGAAGCAGCGTGTGGTAGAACCGGGTATCACCGCAACACGCAGATGAGATTGCATTCCTTATTTCCTTCATTCCATCGGCGTAGACGCAGGACGTCGTCTGCTCTCACAGACCCCTGACTTGTGCGCACGCAGCTTCTTTCTCTCCTCAAGTCGATTCGCACATCGATTTGTGGTGGGCTGAAGGGACCTTGAGAGGAGCTCTTTGTAACCAGCGTACCATTCGCGCCTCCTTTGGCGATTGTCGGTGCGAATCGCGGGAGCAACCGCGGTAAGTGAACTGCACGCACACGCACACACGCACACACGCACACACACTTGGTAATGATACATCAAGCATTACGCTTTCAGGGGTTCCGGTACCTGCCTGGTTTCAAGTCTGATCAGTTGTGTTCAGCTTGTCATTCTGCTGTACAAGGCAACTGCAACCCAAAGCATCCAAAACCAGCTTCACGTGGACTCAAGACTCATTGAAAA